AAGTCCTGGAAGAAAACATAAGCAGTATGCTCTTTGATATTGGTCTTAGCCATATCTTTTTGAATATCACATCTCCTTAGGCAAGGGAAACAAAAAGAAAAATTCAAAAAAGGAACTACCTCAATCTAAGAAGCTTCTGTAGGCATAAGGACATTATCAGCAACATGAAAAGACAACCTACCAACTGAGAGAAAATATTTCCAAATCCTATATCTGATATGGGATTAATATCTAAATTATATGAAGCACGCATACAACTCAACAAGAAAACAACAAACAACCCGACCAAAAAATGGGCAGACAATGTGAACATTATTCCAAAGAATATATACAGATTGCCAAGAGGTACATGAAAAGATGTTCAACATCACTAATTATTAGGGAAAAGCAAATCAAATTTATGGTGAGATAACATCTCATACCCGTCAGAATGGATATTATTAAAAAGATGAGAAACAAGAAGTGCTGGAGAGGATGTGGAGAAAAGGAACCCTCATACACTGCAGGTGAGAATCAAATCGGTGTAGCCACTATGGAAAACAGTATGGTGGTTTCTCAAAAAACTGAAAATAGAAATACCATATGACCCAGCTATTCCACTTCTGGGTATTTATCCAAAGAATATGAAAACAGTAATTTGAAAAGATATATGCACCCCAATGTTCACTGCAGCATTATTCACAGGAGCCAGGACTTGGAAGCCACCTAAGTGGCCATCAACAGATGAATGGATAAAGAAGATGTGATATATATATATATATATATATATATATATACACACACACACACACACACACACATACAGTAGAATACTACTCGGCCGTAAAAAGACGAAATCGTGCCATTTGTGACAACATGGATAAATCTTGAGGGTATTATGCTAAGTGAAATAAGTCAGACAAAGACAATACCATATGACTTCACTCATATGTGGAAGATAAACTAACAAACAAATACATAGAAATGGAGAGCACATTGGTGGTTACCAGAGGGTAAGGGCATATGGGGAGGGTGAAAGAGTAAATGGACACATATATTGGGTGACAGGTGGAAACTACACTCTAGATCATGAACAAGATACAGTCTATACAGAAGTCAAAATATAATTATGTCCACCTGAAATTTATATAATGTTATTAACAATGTAACCTCAATAAAATAAATTCAATAGAAAAAAGAAAATCTCCTGGTTATTTAGCAAGCCTGAGCCCCAAAAGGAACTGTGCTACCTTCAGAAAACAACTGAGTACTCACCAAGACGATGCCTCGAGCCCAAGGACAGAGGCTTGAACCGGGAGGACAAAGTTCCTCCCCCGAGAGGAGAAAGCCTCTCCTGATCCTGAGTAAAGTCCGAGGTCTCAAAACACGAGGAGAGCAGAGCTCAGAATCTGAGAGGAGACTCACCAAACTGAAAGCAGGTAGCAACTCTCAGAAGTGAGGAGCACAGGGGCTCGCTGGGTGTACCTCACTTGATTCTTGGGGTCACAGTCTCTCCAGGGTCGCCTCCTTTGGATATCACTTTTCTGACACCATATATGTCAGCTTGAAAACAAATTCAGTTGTTAGTTTATCCTTAAAATGAGTTTATTTGGGAATAGCCAAAAGTGTTGGAATTTTGGATGTGCGTGCTATGGAGAATCATAGACAAATCCAGAAGACAAAGGAGGGGAGCTTGCTTTTATAGAGAAAAATGGGGAGTAGAGAGGGGTTGCTCTTAATCAAAGTCCATTGGAGGAAAGTAACAGTGAAACTGAGCAAGGGTTCAATCTGCTCACCACAAGATAAAAGGCCAAGCAGGCAGTGGTAGAGAAAGAACTTTAGTAAGCAATAAGCTAGCATATCAGAAGATGGTGGACTATCGTCCTCAAAAAAATCTTCTTAAAGTGGAACTGATTTGAAAATGACTCACATAAGGCAAATGGGGTTGGGGAGGGAGCTAAGAAGTGTCAACTGATGCATGACCACAGAGCATTGGGTGCTTCTCTATAGCAGATCTGCTGAATGCAACATTGTTGAAGAATCTAAGAAAACCTCAGTTACTTCTCTATCTAAGATAGAAGGAACAGTTTCAGCAGAGGACAAATTATTCATTCTACCAGTCACCCAGTAGCTTTCCTATGTGCAGTTCTAAGCATTATTCCAAAGCACATTGTGAGAATAAGACAGGGAAGGGTGTATGTGGCCTTGGGGGCTGAAGTTCGAAGAATCTTCTGCACAGGGGCAATTGCTCAATGCTCCTGTGAGACGCTTAGTCAGGCAGAGGGCTGTCAGCAAGCTACTCTCTTTATCAGCGGTCCTCCTGCTGTTCTGCAAAGCAAGCTCAGAAACTTTGATTACTGTGTTCCCCACATTAACCTTGTGGGCACAGGCATGGTTTTATCCTAGTCCTGGGAAACTTTAACTCCTTCATTCCTGCTTTCAATTACCACTCTCTTATGATCATTCCTCAATCTTGAGGAATGAGGTGAAGACTGCTGTAGCTGCTTCCTGTTGTGAAAGGGTGAAGATCAGGGTCAGAGTAATGAAACTGTTCTACCTTCATTTTAAAATATTTTCGGTGCCTGGTGGGGAGACTGAGATATGGTTTGCATGACTAATATTTCAGTACTCTGATCATTGGCTCTGGAACAACATTTAAGTTTACATTTCATAATTACATAGATGACCACACATATTAGCAAAATAGACAGCCCACATTTTAGTATCCCTTTGTAATGGACCTTAATCCTTGGGGAATCCAGGAGAAGAGGCCTGAAATCCAGTCAAGGTTAGGGGCCGGAATCTCAAATGAAATCTGATGTAGCCAAGTAGCCCGCTGTCTGATAGTCCAACAAGTACGGTAAGAACCTGGGAGTCATTAATTACTTATCTTTAGGAGACCATCTTCTGAACAGCAACTTGTGGTCTGTCAGGGATTCGTTTGTCCATTCAGAAAAGTCACTGTCTAGAGTATGACGCTAGCCAAGGTTTGGGGGATCCAGGTTGTGACGTACTTCTATGGCATGGTTTCCATTCCCTTTGGCATTTCACATACGGTCCCATCTTGTGTTTCTAGGATTTTAATAGGACTCAGCCTCCACAACAAAGATGGTGCAGAGGAACATCTGACAGTGCCTAGTTCCTTAGTATACGTTTTTATTCTGAGTCATTTGGATCATCTCTAGAACATAGGAAGAGTCTCCCAAAGTTAGGCCTACCTTGTGTAAGCAAGTAACCAGGTATTTGAGAGAAGCTTTTCTAGAGAAACAAAAGAAAAACTAGGTTAATGATTGGCACAAATTATAAACTAATTCCTGAGCCCAGGGGATGGCCAGTCAAGAAGACTTCTGGATGTCAGAGTCAAAGCATCTTTTGCAGTTTAAAATGTCTCCAGTGACATCATCAGGTGTTCAGGTAAACTTTTTGAGTGGCTTACCCAGCAACAGGCATGAAGATTGTTCATACATGGGCTGTCATTGTGCTTTCTCTTACATTTACATCAAGTTGTCCAGTTTTAGTTTGCAGGGCTTCAGGAAAATCAGTGGTCTCAGTTCGAAATGATTCCAAATGAAAAGGATGGAAAGAATTGAAAACATTAATTTGGAGATCTGTACAGATATTTGAGGAAACTAGAGGAATTCAGGATCCCGTCCTGTTTACAGATAGAAAACAACAACCTCAAAGACAATCAACAGAACCAGAATCTTATATTTACAAATATGTATTATAGTTTCTGTTGAAACAAAATTTTTCTCTCTATAGTCACCCTCATTTTTACCAAAGATAGTCAAATTAAGACTTATTGGTTTGTAAAGTAAGTCTAGTTTCAATGAACTTGGCCCAATTATTTACATAAACACAGCAAGAATAACAATTGATCATATAAGCTCTTTTTAAATCTGCTTTGCTGGAACTTTCCATAAGGAATCGCAAATTGAACTTTAAAGGCCTCTCAAGGCCAGGAAAGCCAAGCCAAGGACTTGTCATCGGACTCCGCCTGCAATACCTATACAATTTGGGTGAATTCCTTTTTCTCTTGAGGTTTCCCAGATATCCTGAGGTTCCTTATACCTGCCACAGAAGTGAACTGTTCACTTGTAAGCAAGGTACCAGACCAATATTTCCAAGTGGCTCTATTTCATAAAGTTAACCTTTGTTCCTCAAAAGCTGTATTGGTCATATTTGAGTCTATGCATGTTTTTCTCAAATATAATATTCCAGTCAAAGCCTTGATAATATAATCAGTGTTTCCAATTGTGTGCTGTTATAAGGAGAACAGATTCCTATTGAAGTTATGCAAACAACCATATTGCCATGAATATAAGAAGATTCACTAATCAAGAGTTTTTAAATTCTGGAGGGATCCAATAGGGAGAAAAAGATAAATGCCTCAATTCTGCTTACAAATTGCTATAAGTCATAGTTCCTTAAGAGAAAATAGGAAAAAGTTATCCTCAAGTCTGGGAAACAACACATTTTTAAAAATAAGCAATATTTTAAACTAAAAGACATAAAAATTATAATCATCTTCATCAATTTATTTAGTCCTAGATGCTAATTCTTGATCTTCTGTTAGCAGTTTCACGAGGCCATCAGTTTCCATGTTACAGTTCTGTAATTTCTTATCCAACTCAGTTTTACAATCTGAAAGTTTATCAGCAACCTGCATTTTAGAGCAAGTGTCAGAGTTCTTTCCATGAATCTCTCTGAAGCTGAAACACATCTTCAAAAACATCGAGTAAAACAACAACTGTCTGCAAATAACAAAACATTCAAAAATGGCAATTGACAATGACTATGACACATAACACTTGATATAATAACCATAATTATGACTGACAACCAGGACAGATCAGAATTTTAGGAATGTTATATAATTTTTCTTAAAACACCTATATTAATAAGATTAACATTTACCTATACAATATAACCTAAGAAAGTTTACTATCACTTTTTTGACAATGCTTAGTTATTCATTCAATCAAGGTGACAAGAGAAATAGTCAAAGGCAAACAGAGAGTTAAAACAGTAAAAAAAAAAAAACACGTTAATAGAGAGATCTCAGTCCTTTTGAACATAGGAAACTATTTTAACAAAATATAGATTTTCTGTCTTTTAGGTAAACTTACTCAAAGGTAAAGAAAAAACTTTTATAACCTTCTTACCTAGAGCACTATCTGGATCAGACCAAAAGGTCAAGAAAATTACCCTTTTAAGAGACAGAAAGCCAAATTCTAATTTTGCACCAGCTTACTTTTGATATTGAAACTCCTTAATTAATTTGAACTCATTTTAATCTCAGCCAACTTGACTCTGCACAAAACTCCTCAGGGTTTTACTTCCACAAACATTCTGTCACTTGCTTTTACATTCAGAATTTGTCCCGTGTCTTCTTTCCTTCATTTTATCCTAGAACTTTAGGAAAAATTTATCCTCATTTTTTTAAACAAATAAAAATATTTCTATTCTTTATACCTTCTTTGAATACCTTCTTGAAAAAATACATCTTACAGGGCCAGCCCTGTGGCTTAGCGGTTGAGTGCGTGCACTCCGCTACTGGAGGCCCAGGTTTGGATCCCGGGCGCACGTCGACACACTGCTTGTCAGGCCTTGCTGAGGCGGCATCCCACATACAGCAACTAGAAGGGTGTGCAGCTATGACATACAACTATCTACTGGGGCTTGGGGAGAAGTGGAGGAGGACTGGCAATAGATGTTAGCTCAGGGCCGGTCTTTCTCAGCAAAAAGAGGAGGATTGGCATGGATGTTAGCTCAGGGCTGATCTTCCTCACCAAAAAAAAAAAAAAATACATTTTACCGTTTTTATATACAGACTGAGTAGAGACATGTACTTTTCCATAGAAAATTCTCCAGCTTGGCACAGAAAATGTTCATCAATGAGCCTAAGCATCATTCAGTTTCTCTGAGATAAAAAACCAAAGGCAGACAAATCTATGGCCAGTAATCAATTTCTAATATTTTATCTTATGTAGAAATGACCAAGATACTCAATAAATTTCATCATTTAATTTAACTTAGCAAAACTCTAAAGTTTTAAGTTATCAAAGTTTTTGGAAGTAAATAGACCATAAAACATAATTATTGTACCCAAAAACTCTTACCCATTTTCATTTATCTAAGTCATTTGTTCCCAACAATTACGTTTCAGTTACTCATAAAAACTTCAGGTGACATTAAATCAGTTATCCATCATCTTAAGTTGTGTTAAGTACATACACCATAACACATCTATTTAGTTTACTTGATCCCAATAATTATGTTTAGATTGCCTATAAAACCCTCATAAGACATCAGACAAAATCAGCTATTATTCTAAGTTATTATTTTTAATG